GATTTGATAATCTTATTAATTTTACTAATATGTCATCTTGAATTTCAGATATAATTATCAGATCCATTTACATACTCAAGACATTTTTTGTACACATATTTCAATCATATTAACCTTATACTCTTATTTCATAATAAAATTAGATTTATTTTCTTCAATCAATTCAATAATGTTACATACCTAATGTATTTCAGTAAACTTAAAAAATTTAAATTCTATTACATCCACCCAATATAAAGTGTATCCAGATAACTAAACATATTTAAGTTAATGAAAGTTACTTTGAATAAAAATAATATTGTTTAAATTTGTTTTTCTTTCATTTATCTTCTACACTTGGTACTGAAATTACATATTTGATTTTAAAAAGCGATGTTGTATAAAATCGATCTTCCCATTAATAACACATGTCTTTTTTAAGGTCAAGAATACACAATCTGATTCATTTTGTCCTATTTTCCTGACAGAGCCTGCATTGTTCCTAAGAGGCATAAGAGACCTAGACCTTGTATAGTATGTATTGTATTTAGTTCTTCACAAAATAGTGAATGTTTTCCAACCTTAGAAAATGAGGTCAACTATTTACAAAAATGAGATCAAAACCTTGAGTAAAAATTCTTTTCTCCATGACCAAACATCCACTGATCCCTATAAATTATTTTATATGTTGATCTACATATTAGATTTTTATTTTTTGTGATTTTTAAAAATTAAATGTTTTTATATTCTTAATGCTAATTGGACAGTTTAATGCAAAAGTGTCATATGCCAAAAATGAAGCTTTGTAATATTCAAAATTTTGTGGGAAGCTCTGTTAGGTAAATATAGAATAATAATAGACATTTCTTACTAAGGAATAAGAATTTACTTTTTCTGTAAAAAATAGCCATTTGAAAATATGAATTTAATACACTCTAAAACTAATTATATACAAAATTGAAAAGGAAGAAGGCAGCTGGAAGTGATGGCACTTCAAACAAACTTGTCATCGAAGCAAGAAAGCCAAACAGTTATTTAAAATCTTCAATATGGTATTGGAAGACAGTACTTGAGGAATGGAAAGAATGTAAAAAACTCATAATGCTACACAAAAAAGGAGGAATATAGAATACTACCGAACAAACTCACACAAACTACATGTAAAATGTTGTGTAGTATAATATAAAGTAGTATCATTAATACAATTTTGGAAGATCGTTATATAGAGTAAGCCAGTTTTCATCCATCATTCAATACAATAGACAATTTTTCAATGCCTCAATCAAATAATTGAAAAATCTGCCAAATACAATCTTACTCTATATGTACACAATCCTATGAGGGCCCCACCTAAGGATTACTAGGCCTCGTGGGACAAGCAGTACCCAGCACAGACGTATGTAGAATGACTTCGGACTAATTGTGTGGAGGGCTTCAGGGAGCATGGTCTGCAAGATCACAGCCTTACAAGGTGGAATACAGGAGAATGGAAGGCTAGAGAAGGCTTCAAATATGATAACCCACAAAATCTTATATAAACCTACAACAGAAACTTCAATGAATAATCATCAGACTGATGTAACAGTAAACTGGGATGGATGGAGGTTGTTTCTTGAGACTCCACTGGGAGCTACAGGAGTCAAGTAGACTTGAACAGAAACAGGTGAAAAAATGTCAACTATTATTTAAATATATCAATTACGATTCACTGTATAATCTTGATGAGTTTCGTTGTAGATGAAGTGTGTCACAAAAACATCTATCAAGATTAATTAATGAAAATGAGCTGATAATGAATGATATTTAAACTTGAAACATGACTTAACAGTCCCAAATAAGTTATAAATTAAAATAGATAATAGTCCGTCAAGCAGTTTTAGAGATGCATTTGAACACATAAAGTAAACATGTAAGGTTTTGAATAGATTCAGTGAAAAGCATTGGCCTATAAACACATCACTGGAAAGAAAACTGTATGGAAATCGTGTAAAAACATAATAACTTACATTTCTATCACACCCAACATATTATTGAAAGAAAATTTGGAGGCAATCAGTGATTCTATCAATCTCTCGTTATCGTGATCTCAAGATTCACCTCTCCGAGTTTTAGCAATGGTACACACACTTCGAATGAAAGTTATTGAATCGAAATGTGTACAAGTGGCTTTATTTACCCATTCACTCCTTTATTTATTACATTCAGTCCTAATTAATATTTCATAATTTAGATCTGATGCAATAAGGTTCCTTGGTTTTATCCTGGACACTAGAGTTACACGAGACCCATTTAATGAACTAAAAAGACAAGGTTTTAATGAAGAGTTAGCCAGTTAAACAGAAAACTACCTCTCATATCTCAATTGAACTGTTAATTTATAAGAATGTCCTCAAAACTATGACGATTTATGAAGCGGAACTATACCAATAATATCCTACATTAGGACCATATATTTTATGTTCACCGACTTAAGAAAATTTCAAATGAATCTTTCCTATCATCCAAATCTTTACTTAGTCACACTCAAAAGGATGAAATAGAAAAAAAACACAATATATGAAGACAAGACATTAATAACAGACTAATCCCAAACAAAAAAAGAAGCTAAATGTTATCAGCCTAAAAAATAGGCTAAAATACAAAAAAAATTATTGTGGTGGTCACGATCACTGATTATGGTATTTAGCCTGTTTTTTAGGGTCTAAATACTTTTTTTTTTGTTTGATACTTGGTCCAATTCTCATTCATAGTACAAAAAAAAAAAAAATGACTGGAGTTCTGACAATGGCAAGACTCTTCACTATTTCTAATAATGTTAGTGGCTTTGATTCAACACAAGTGAAATGAGAAGGGAGACAGGAGGAATTCATGGGGTCATGCTATACCTCAATGCAGAAGAAGAGGTTTGGAGTCCTCGTGTCAAATGCAAACAAATATGGATGTAATTCAAGATGTGCATCCTTTAGATTCTATTACAGATTAAAGTCAGTAGGTGTTTTTAGCTCACTCCTTTCCAATATTTAAATTGTGAAAGGTATGCCTAAAGATTCATTTCATGAAAAAAATATTGATTAATTATGGACGGATTTCAATATTTAAAAATAATTGTCTATGAATTATTAGAAAGGTTATGAAAAAAAAAATATTAAAAACTAATGAATGAATGATATCATATGGGCCTTTCAGTTGACAGAATGACTGACTCCAATTTCAATACTTTTGATTAATAATTTTAGAAAGATTTCTAGTGGGAAAAGTTATATCTTTATTCATATTTCTATACTTTAACAATGCAGTCGCCTGCTCTGGAATCAACTTACTCACTGTCCATACATATATTATAAATTTTCTAACTAGAAATATCACTAAAATGACTTTACTCAAAAATGTTGAAATTGGAGTTAGTAATTCTGTCAACTGAAAGGCTCATATATCTTTCTTTGATGAGAACAGAATGAACTAAACTGGTGGCGAAAATAACCAGCACATCTTGTATTTTACATAAAAACTGCAGATTAAGAAATAGTTTTGAGCCTTAAGGTATATGAGGTCAAAGGGGCTCACCATGCATTAATCCTTTAAAGAAAATTTCACCATCTTCTCTATGTTTAATGATGAGCGTAATAGGATAAAATGTGGACTTCATATCAGTTTATTTCCAGTTCCTGGTTCAATTGCCTTGAATTTCATATTGCTTTTTTTTTCTTGAAAAACAATATTTCTTTTGTATTACACATTTTTAAGAGTGCAAATTGTTTTGTATGACGAGGATTATTGCATTGGATGAAGAAGGTCAAAGTCAGCGATATGCAGCCAGAGTCCATGGTCTGCCTGAAACAACGGTTTGAAGGGCAGTCCAGAAGTACCAGGATACAGAGATCAGGTTCAGCTGATGACTGCTTCATTGCTTTGTAGATCCTCAGAAACTGCTTCCAAACTTCAGTCGAAACTTTTCATCGACTGTGTATCGCTCATGGTGCAAATGTCAGTGCACTGACATAATGGAGAATGCTTGCTGAACTCAACCTGCATGCTTCAGTTCCTCCTTCTGGTTCTCAACTTACCTCTAGTTATCTTGAACATGCCACGTGAACTGAATATGATTTGGTCTCTGTTCTGTTTTCTGATAATCCAGGTATATCCTTTAAGATACAGATAGAAGAGTTGGAGGGTGGAGAAGACCAGATGAGTGAAATGCTCAGTGCAATATAGCAGAAACAGCACAGTTTGGAGGAGAGTTGGTGATGTTTTGGTGTGAAATATGGTTAAAGGCAAGGACAGACCTCCGGGTGTTCTCCGAAGGACAATGCTCAATGCACACACATACATCAACGTCATCCTTGAGGAATATGTGTTACCTTTTGGCCCCTATTTTCTTTTAATACAGAATAATGCTCGCCAATGTTCTGCAGTACTACCTTGGCGATGTTTGTGTCTGCATGTAGAAATGGCCTTCTCACATGCTGGACCTCAATTCTATTGAGCATCTTTGGGAACATCTTGAGATATCAAACTGTCGACAACAGAATCATGTGAACTCCAAGAGCTCAGGATTGTCTTGTTACACAAATGGGATCAGAGTCCTTAACATTGGGTAGCCAACCTTATTCGTGATATGCTTACAGAACGTTACTCAAGGAAGAGGAGGCAACACAAAGTAGTAGAGACTCTAATTACTTAATTAAAAAAGAATCAGAAGCGTTATATTTTTTATTAAAAGCATGTTCATTTGCTTTATTTTACATTACATATTTTAAAAAGAATTCTTGTTGTTTTTCCCTTTATTTTTGGTCTATAAATAGAATATGTACCTCAATATTAAGATAAAAATATTTGCAAATTTTCTTCTCTTGGGAAAGAAATAATAACAGGTTCTACATTTCTCTTTTCATCTCACAGCTATTTATGAAAATAGGAATATCATAATATTCCCTGAAAATAACGCTCATGCATTAAACATTTATGTATTTCATTTTACCACAAGAGATAGAAATGGTAAGAAAACTCCTAATAATACACTGGCTTTTGAGACAGGTTCAAGATGCACCAGTGTATTATTAGGAGTTTTCTTACCATTTCTATCTCTTGTGGTAAAATGAAATACATAAATGTTTCATGCATAAGCGTTATTTTCAGGGAATATTATGATATTCCTATTTTCATAAATAGCTTTGAAATCTTAATTTTTATTACTCAACTTTCACAGGCAGAAATAAATCTGTTTCACTGTTCTTCTTATAAAATTGTGTCATTCAATCAATGGCCAGTAAATGTGAAAAATATAGTTCAAGAAGATGAAGATTAAGCTTGCTATTGCAATTCAATTGAAATAATGTCATATTAATGCCAAATCTGTTGATTATTTTTATTTAATTAAAAAATAAATGATTTTATAAAAATTAATTTACTTGAAGATATCAAACTGATTTAAACAAAGAATGCCACAGCCACAAAAGAATCAATTAAATCATTCAAATCGATCTTACATTCACTTGTTTGCAGCTGGTATTTCTAGAAAAAACAAATGGCTTACTTTAATGTAATGAGAGGAAAAAGGTTGAAAAAAACATGGAAACCGAAATCTGTTCCTTATAAGTAAATATAAAAGGAAGATAATTTTAAAGATTTATTAACTATTATTCTTGCAGTGATTGCATCATGTACAATTTAGCAAGAGATTGGGAGCAAAATTGTGAAATGTGTTGTGAGTAGGCATCTATCTGCCCAGCCATAATCATAGGCATCAGCCTGGGGGGTACGAGAATTGGTCGGAATAACTTGTTGAGGTCTTCCTCAGGTAGAGGAGGTTCACCTTTGGCAGCTCTGGCGGCATTGTCCTGCATCTGTAATAAATGTCAAGATTAGATAATAATAAGAGATACAAATTAATATACAGCCAAATAAAAATAATATAATCTATAAAAAGAAATAAAAACAGATTAAATAAATTGTCAATACTAGAGATGCCCATACTCAATTTTAGAAGATTAGTGAAACGAGAAAATGCTCACTATAATTTAGTACCTTTAGAATTGAAAACGATTTGAAAAAAAAATTGAAGAGCCATAAAAAAATTTCAATTTATTAAAATATTCACAAAATATAGAGACATCAATTTTCAATTCACATATTAAAGTTATTCTAATTTGAAATTTAAAACTTCTAGGAATGAAAGATATATTACAATACTCAAAACCTTTTAATATCTTCACAGAGTGAAGGGTACATTATAGAGATGGTGCATAGAGACAAATAACCAATGAAAATCTAATAAAGAATTAACTGAGTTAAAAAAATATTTGGTGTGTCCACACACACGACCTTTCTACCTATTTCAGAAAAGTTTTTATATCTTTACATATGTTTATGAAGAAACAAAAAAGAATTGAACTAGATACATTTTCCCTGAAAATTGATCAAACATAAGATTTTAGTACGATTTATTAGATAAACTAAAGAAATGTTAACCGGCTTAAGGTAGATCAGTGTAAAAATTACAACACTTCCAAATATTGCTGATCAAAAACTTTTTGTCAAACAATAATTTCTGTTAAAAGTAGAGGAAATAGTGAAGATTGTGTGATGCGAGCAACATATTTTCATACTTCCACTTAGTCATCTATATTCTCTCATTCATCACTTTCTGACACCAGGATATGAAACCGTAATCTTACATTGGAAATTGAATAGCTGTAAGTTCGTTAATAGTTGTCCAAAATGAACGATTTTTATATGGCTTTGTAACGAATTTCATTACCTTTCAAATGACAGGCTAAACGTTTTTGAGTAATAAGTTCAAAAATGTGTAAAAAATAGAATAATGGGAACATCCAATCACCTTGGAGATGCAAGGAGAAACAATTAGTACAATTGAGGTAGTAACCTACCTCAGTGTAACATTTGGAAGAAAGTTACCTCCCTTGGGCTACTTGGTAAACAGAGTGACAGCCGCCCTAAATGGTCTCGGTCGTATTGGTGGAGCTTTCTGGAACCTTAGATACCCAGCGACCAAGACTATCTACAAAGGAATGGTGTTGGGTATATTAAGGTATGCATCCCCCTCATGATACCTGAACCTTCCCAAGCGAAAGAAGAACAAGTTAGCATCTATTCAGAGGTCGGCTATGCTGCGGGTCACCAGAGCATATAAGACAGCGCCTCATGAGGCAGTGCAGATCTTAGCAGGGGCGATACCTCTCGAGATCTCCTCCTGCAAGAAGACTTGATCAAACATGCCTATAGGAGAGAAGCCTTAGCAGCAATTTCGGAGGACCTTCTAGTGAGAATTGAGGAACGGTCCAATAGATTAAAATCAATATTGAGAGAATCTACCGTCGAAGAGTGGAACAGGCGGCGGAACACTACCACTAAGGGAGCTACCCTAAGGAAGTATTTTTCCACCGAACAGTCTCGACTAGGAGCTAGATCGATCAAACCAGACTATTTGGTCTCTCAATTCCTCACTGGACATGAGGGCTTCTGTGCCAAGTTACACAGTCTTGGACAAGACATCGATCCCCTATGCTGCAGTTGTGATATTCCGGAAATTGCTGAGCATGTGATCACCAGCTGCACTGCGTTTGAGGCACTGAGAGCCAAGCTAATAAGGAGCAAATATATCTACAATATTAACGAAGGAGATTAGCCTCTTCTCGTCACTACAGATAACTACCCATACTACGATGCATTCGTGTATGGGTGGAAGGAACAAATAGGCACAGCCCATTTCAATATGGAAGTGAAATGGAGACTTCCAGTCTCAATCTGAGGTTACTCCAAGACAGAAATATAGCAAGAGGAATATAACAAGAAAAGCCAAACTTATTGTTGTATAAAAAAAAACAAAAAAAAAAAACGGAATCCCATACTGTCGAAAAGACAAGGAAGGGAGAGTGAAAAGAAAGAAAAAAAAAACTAAAGATTTCAAGTTCAAAACCCTATTCCGGGGGAATTTCGACTCTGGCATTAATCCCTGTAAAAAAAAACCTTAATAGCCTAAATGGCGAGGAAGAGAAGAAAAAGAAAAAATAAAGTAAAAATTTGACATATCGAATTTAATACAAAAAGATTTTGCCCTATCTATTTCACTTGTACATTAATAAATTTAAAAAAAATCAATTTATTAATTTATATTTGGTTCTCTAATCTCTTGAAGTACATTATAACAAAGTTTTTCTGTATATCAATATTTTAAATCATTAAAAATAAAGTAAATAAACTGAGCAATCATTCAGGTATATCAAAGTTAAGTAAATAATCATGTTTTGCTTTGAATGAATATGGGCCTGAACATACACAAAATTAGATTATATATAATTTTCATACCCTTTTATGAACGTATCTTTGCTTATCCTGAGTTTGTCGGACAACTGCATGCTGATAACGATTAAACTTAATGGCTTCTTGATTCAAATCATCAACATGCTCCATTAAACTTCTAAGATGACCTTCTAAGACAGAACTGTGGGAAAAAATATATATTATTAACAGAATCCATAACCCTGAAGATAGATCTTTACAATATAATCTTGCTCTAGAAAAGATATTAGGTATTCAGATGTACATAATATATAGGAAATATTCATGAAACCCGTGCACAAGGGCAATTGATTATCTGGACTTGTGCAGTCTCATTTAAAGAAAAAAAAAGGGGGGGGGGGAAAGAGGACTGTTTCCAGAATAACAAGATAAGTTTTTTGTTGGTGAATAAAAAGAAAAAATAACCATAAGCACAAAAAGTCTATAATATTATTAGGTTGTGTCTCATGTCCTTAAAGACAAAAAAAAAAAAAAAAAAAAACCTCTGCAGTCTCATTATGTAGCAGAATACATTTTTATGAAATACTGCTTCATGCAGTTCTTACATAAGTCTTTCAGTGCTATTCAAGACAAATGGAGTCTTTCCATCAATAACTAGATCCTTTGGAACATATTTTATTTTATTTTCCTCTAAATGTGGGACTAACCTGAAACTATTGTTAAAACTACATGACTCCAAATAACATACAGAGAATTGATGTCATTAATTCAGATATTTAACATGATATAAAAAAATAATTCTAACTTCATCTTTTCAAACCAATGAGTCATCGGAATAGCAAGAAGCTCAGAAACAAAGTGATCTAAACACCAACAGGTTACCTAGAACTAACCAAGCATTTGTGAATCAAACCATGTCCATATGAAGTTGAGTACGTTAAAAAACGAAAATTTCATACATTACTCCAAAATGGAATACATGCACTTCCTTCCATCCACTCCTACATAGGGAGACAAAAAAGTGAATCACCCGCGTGATCAAATGCTCGCTATCCAGTCAAATGTTTCACAAATTTTCATTTGAATTATCATTTCTCTACATTATGGAAACTGACTTAGTTCCTGTCACAATCAGATCTTTATTAACAAATGTATGGGTGTTACTAGAATAAATTTGATTGCTTTTACCTAACTAATACCTGTTTTTCAAAGTAACTAAAAATCTATCAGTTAAAAGTAATGTTCTAAAAGATAATTTGGCAGAAATATGAAAAAAAAAGTTACATAGAACATCTATAATATAATGCTCATAGAACAAAAATTATGCAGTTTTTTTTGTCTCCTGGAAATATTTAGTTTTTGTTCTTACAGGCTTGTGGCATTCAATATGCAGCACTTAATGTGATATTTAAACAAACATATTAATTTTAAACACTGAAAATTGAAGATTGATAACAAAATTTACAATATGAATTTAAATAAAAGTACTCACTTTGTACTTAGATCCAGGAAATTTACGGAACTAGGAGTCATATCATCCAACTCGCTCATAAGAATGTTAGTTAGGGGAGAGTTTCTAATGACAAGTGGGACTTCTGTGAGTAAATTCTCATACGAAACTTTTAGAGCTCTCATGGCATCAGGAGTAAATTCTCCTTCCTTATACATAGCGATTGCTTGAGGGGTTAAACGATATGCTTTAAGGGTTAGGAATCCTCTTTCAGTTTTCTGGGTGTCTGTAAAAAATAAAAAAAAGCTTCAATACAACAAAAAATAAAACAACATGTATAGAACATTTGGCAATAAAATCTATTGTTATACAGGGAACAGAAAATGATAAATGAGTCATAAGTCATGAGTCATGACATAAGTCAAGAATGCTGTTAGTTATAGAGAATTTCATGAGTAAATGAAAGTTAATGAGTAGTGGAATCTAAAACCACAATGACAGCCATTTTTGATAATAGTACAAAATAAAAAAGTTTTAGAACTTGGATATATATTTTTACATAGATCACAGATATGGATTTCTGATCTTTCAATAAGATAAAAGAATAAACTCATCAGAGACAATGCTAGAGTTTTGGGTAACTTTTTATTATTTACATCAATTTAATCATTAATTACTTTAAATTTAATTTCTAGCTTCAGAATTATGTTAATTAGTGGATGGAGCTTCCTTTAGTGGAGTGGAAGTTCCTAAATTCAGTGTTATGCTAATTGATAGCATCTAACCCTAATCTAAACTGGGTGAAATGAAGCCAATGATGAGCTCAGTGCTGTATTATGGAACCTGTCCCTGTGCTGGACAATCTAAATGAGTACATGGTTAAAAAAGTACCAATAATTGTGATTATCGTTGGTCAGAAATAATAAAATTGTGTTTATTTCAATATGTATTTGTTAGAAAGAGTTGAACACAACAGACTATGGGGACTAACATTTTTCCAAATTATATAAAAAGGAATCACAATATTACAATGACAATTCAAGTAGGTTTCAACTGCTGACAATGTCATTCAGAAGCTGTCACCATTTAAGAACAACCAAACTAAAGCCTAATTTAAATTTCATTTACAACAATATATAAAATTTATAATGCATTAATATATTACCATAAATCAACACAACAGATTCTTCTATGGATGTTTGGTAATGATACTGTGATTCCAGTAAGGGGCCACTTAAAAAACTACCAACATCAGAACTCTGGTACCAGCCCACATGATAATGGTCAACGTTGACACGCCTCAATCGTCTCATCATGTCGAGTTGATACTCCTCTGTCAAAATAATAAATAATTAAACAAAATTAACCAGTAAAAATTTAAAAAAAAACTTTACTAACCATTGGTGCAATTGATAATATTGAATTAAAAGATTAAATAAGGTTGGAACAATAGTATATACATACCTTCATCAATAGATTCATCATAAGTTTTAGGAAAGGGAAAGCAGTTAGTAATTTCCAATCTATTGTCTACAACAAGACCTAGTAATGCACCTTGGGCTACTTCTAAATTTCCTGCACATTCTTCATGGCAATGTTTCACTATTTTCATCACAGCCTGGAATGGAAAGTGGAATAAAAACATTTAAATGTAAGTATAGTCATCCAATTCAGAAATAATTTCAATGACTTCTCATTTCATAAACTTTTATTATATAATTTAGGGGAAACACAAACAATATAGAAGCTTCAAACAATATACCAAACAATAATCTGAACAGAAATTACTTACCAAGCCATCCATTTGGACATGGTCAATAGGCGTCTCCTGCTCAGGAATTCTTCTCATCATCTTGAAAGTTGAAAGAATAAAATCCACTTAACTAATTAAACTATATTAACCGAACTAACACTTATGGTAGTGGACTACTAGGGTCCACGAGCTTTGAAGAATGAGGTTATGGTTAGCCTAACCAGGTTAGGACAACAATGGTTTCCTTCGGTTTTCCGAAATCGCAGTAGAAATTAAATTAATCCGTTTATTAAACAATGTCAGAAATTAGTAAATTGTACAATATGATTGATAAAATATTATTTTTAACCTATGATTTCAATTTGACAAATTTCATTGTAATAATGTCCAACGATTTTGACCCCCCCTTCTCTTGTTTTTTGTAACAGGACTATTCTTTTACGAATTATTTAAAAAAAAATAATAATTGCCTTCAATTGAATAAAATTACACTATGATTGTATATGAATAAAATCTTTATATATATTTTACAAAGAATTTTTTTTTTTTTTGCAACTTCAATTCTTAATCAAATCCAATGATTGAACCATCATTTTGAAGTACTTCCTCTCCTTCATTTGGGAAAAATAGTTACAACCTCGCGAAATTTAAGGAGAAAAGTTATGAAGGAAAATAAATTTAATTAGCGAATAATTCAAAAAGTATACATTTTTCCTTGAGTCTACTCATGATTAATAGAAAGATAACTAAATTCACTACAAAAAAAATCAAAAACTGAAACATTTTAGCAAAGATAGAGTCTACAGTAATGTACACCGGTTTTCGTTTAATATCCTGATTGCAATAATGTGATTCCAGTGAGAAAGATTAAATTATTATTTCTATCTCATAATACATTGCACTAGCTTATCTATATTATATTTTCCTTTGATTAGTGATCAATATACTATGTGAATTATTCACATGGGCTGGCTAGTTATTATACATTGTTATGGATGAATCCATGCATAACGTCACATTTTGTTTGACTACTTTAAAAAAGTTAAAAAAAATATTTTTCTAATTTTGTTTCACTCATTCCTTTAAGAGCCCCTTCCTAATGAAGTAGAAAAATAGCAACTTGAATTTATATTTATTTTATCAGTTATTTATTTTTTTATAAAATGTAGTTAATTTGTATATTTTCTAACAAAATGTAGTTAGTTTTCATATATTCTCAGGTAAATAATCTTTAGACTTATGTGATGAATCAATAACCACAAAGACATAAGAGTTTCGCTAACAAACTAGATTTATTTTTGCATTGTTATAGATTAAATATTTCTTTGAAATGGATGACTCATCAATGATCTGTTTTCCTTGTTGGTAAAAATAATCATTAGTAGTTCATCTTCAAATTTTAAAGAATGAGAAATTGACAACCCTCCCTTCCTTGAACCGGGGATTTTTAAATCTTCAACTGAGGATCCTTTTTCCAGATTCCATTACTTTCAAGAGGAGGCAGAGGATAGAGAACTAAGGGTTTTAGAAATTCCACAACAAACTTGATTGACTGTCAGACAACAAATAGAAGGGATATGGTAAATGAGGATCTTGTTTCTTTAACAGAGATCTTTTACTTGATAATAAAACTTATGAAATGACACTTACCACAACTGAATGATGAAAGCCAGGGTAGAGAAGATGAATTGTAACAGATATGTTTTTCACACTATCACTTTTAACAGAAGTGGACTTAGATTTCACTGAACAACATTAATCAGTCTAGTTTGATGCCAGGTGCCATCTTGATTCACAGCTTAAAACACAATTTTTTTCCTTTTTTATTGTTCTTGAAAGGGACTTGAAAATAGTGAGAGAAAGAGGGGAATTGATTAGTTGACCTATGGGACATTGATTAAGTGTAGTGTTTTAATTTTCATTGGGAAAATGCTTGAAAAAAAATTGGTAGAGCTTAAATGATTGTCTAAGACTTATAAATTTCAGTTAGTATGAAAAAATGATTAGAACTAAATATGACTAAGATTTTTTTAAGAAATATATTTGATCAAAATCACTTCACAAAATAAAATAAATAAATAAAAAAGATCAACAATCAAGACATGCAGATTTAGTAGTTTTTAGTATTTTTTTTTAAACAAATTTTAAAGTATTTTACAACAAAAGTATTTAAAAGTTATGCCAATTATATTATATTAATATGTGGAAAAGAAAATCTTAGTTCCATGGTTTAATTTTAGTCCATGCAGATTTATGTGGAACAGACCAGATAATGATTGATGAAAAAAATGTATCAATAATAAGTATTTTAATTAAATTGGATAATTCACATCTCATGACAAAAATATTTCCAATCGCCACAAAGTGATTTATTGAAATTAGATTTATTATGAGGTAATTAGTTTTAAACTAACACTTATTTTATTTAATGCCTTTGTTTAGCTCACAAGAAAGTTTACCACTATCCTATGTATGTGAGGTACTTAAACCCCCAAACTTCTATTATGGTGCTTTTAGGGCAAAAGAGCAGCTTGTTTTGTGTCTACTGGATTGAGAATTTTTTTTCATTTAAAGAAAGAATTATGTCTTTTAATAATTGTATTTAGTTTTTTTTTTTTTTTGTATTTAAAGTAAAAATAATCCTGTATATTAGATCTAATTTCACTTTATAATTTTCTTGATTCCTACTTTTTTTTTCTAAATTTCTCACTTTAAATAGACACGCACTTTTACTTCTTCTGGTCAACATTTAAAAATAAAAAAAAAGTTTATTAAATTTAGGATTGATAAATTAATTAGTGAGCAGAAGTACTATATAATACTGATAATGTTACTTTATGTGGTGAACAATTAATTCTATTAATTAATGAACCATTTAAATAGTTCAGAGTTCATTAATAGATATTGTGTAGCCATTTAACAATCTGAGAGGTATAACAATATATTCTTTGGTAGTGCCCGAGGTAAGTAAAAAGCTAGCTGAGTAAAAGGCAAAAAAATTAGGAGAATTATTTAAAGTGATTTAATACTTACTGTTTTATATTAATTGGTGTGTATTTATTATATATGGACAAATTAAACATTCTGTATTGGGTTTTAATAATACATGATTGATTTTCTTAGAATGGTTAAGCTTTTTTTTTAAGTAACTTTTCTAAAAAATAGTTGTTCGAAAAACTTCTTTTTAATCTTCCTTTAAGATACCATGGTGATGAAATTGATTAGTAATATTGTTGTTTTCTTCTTTTTTTGTTCAATACCTTTTAATTTCTAGACTAACTATTAAATGATCATTAATAAATACTTCCTAATAGGTAGTTTTCATTTAATATATAGTTTAGATAATTAAAATAGATAGATAATCTAGTTTATACTTTAATGTTTAATCAAGAAAACCAGAACCACTAGAACCCAGAAAGGGTCTTGTAAGGAAGTACTGTTTTAATGCCAAATGTAGTGCATGGAGATGATTGAGCAAAGATCAGACACAACCCTCCAGGTCTGCCCACGTAATTAAATATTTATAGAGGCTAGATGTTCCCCAAGAGTGTCTCCTGATCACAGTGTAAATCCATGGCAGGTATAACAGAATAAATAATTACCTTTCACAGCCAAAAATGAACAAGGGACCTTCAGCACAGGAAATCAGTGCCTTACATACTGAGCTGCCCCACTCGTTTTAACAAAAAAACAGATTTTAAAAATAGTAATATAACTAAATACATCTTAAATATAAGCAATTGAACATTAAAAATTCATATATAAATGAAAATTAAACTCTATCTGTACTTTAAAAAATATATGATATTTATGAAATTTTCTTTCTATCATCATCCACTTTATTATTGTACTATATATATTTTTCATTTATATATATTTAGTTGCTTTATTTATGTGTTTTATTTGATTATTTATTAGATTTTTATGAGTTTACTAAAAAGAACAAACAACAAATTGAAATCCTTATAAAAGTGGATAATTAGTCTTTATTCTCTTTTTATCTAATTTACTTTATTCTTTGTGAATTTATTTACTTTATTTAGCTTATATGATTAATGTAATATTTTGTAAGTGTAATTATTTAAATATAATTGCACTTTGTAACTTGTAATTACGGTTCATATTTTCCAATTTGTGATAGATAAGGTATTGTTGAATAGATAGAGCAAATAAATACATAAAAAAATGAACCTGTTTTTGTCATATGAATAGGTATAATAAATTGATTAGCTGGAGTTAGTCATCTATTTGAGATTAACAGTCACTCCTTCCTTTACTTCCTGAAAATTCCTTTCATATTAAACACTACAGCCTGTTCTATATTTCACTTTTTTTTTTTTGCAATTATTTCAAATAGTTTAAGCAAGGTACATTTATTTCTTTATAAGCTTCCTGTTATTCTATATAAAAATAGCTAACTCTACTAACTTAAACTCTCAAATTTAATTACATATGGTATCTTCAAGGAATATATAAGCTTTAATACGTTTAAATTTTTTATTCTACTTCCAACGAAATCTCGAGCTGATTAGCTCAATACCAAGTCACAAATGACATTTAAACAAAGATAATTACAACTATGATCGCTCATCATCTAGTCATATAAAAAGTGAGAACTTACCAAAAAACATTTTTTATCTACTAAAACGTATTTCAATACTATAATTTCATTGAAAAACTATTTTTGGTACAACAAGTACCAATGATTTGGTTTCGATGAACCAAATTCCTTGTCTCTATATTCCTTAAATGTTTGCGCATTTATTGATGCTTGTCCTTCTACAATAAAAATTTGTGTATGCGAATATTTCAAAAGTTATACGATTTCTATTATTGATTACTATTTTGTTTAATACAGATTAAATAAAACAAAATAGTAATCAATAATAGAAATTGGATAACTTCTGAAATAATCACACATACAAATTTTTATTGTAGGACAAGCATCAATAAATGCGCAGACATTTAAGGAATATGTAGACGAGGAATATGGTTATCTTTGGTATTTGGTGTACTAAAAATAGTTGTTCAATGAAATTATAATATTGAAATACATTTTAGTAGATAAAAAATTTTTAAAAAAAAAAGTTTTTTTTTAAGTTCTCACTTTTAATATGACTAGATAATGAGCAATCATAGTTGTAAATTATCTTTGTTTAATTGTTATTTGTAGATGAATTGATAATGAGCTAATCAGCTCGAAACGTCG